AATCAGTTGGATTCCTCTATAGTAACAATGACAGCTCTGAAAAAGACATCAGGTAAGCAATACCATTTACAATAGCAACCCAAAGGATGAAATATTTAGGAATAAACATAACCAGAGAAACAAAGAACTTATGCAAAGAAAATTACAAAACACTACTACAAGAAACCAAAAGAGACTTACAGAAGTGGATGAACATACCATGTTACTGGATAGGAAGACTCAAAATTGTGAAAATGTCAGTACTGCCCAAAGCAATTTACACATATAATGCAATCCCAATCCAGATTCCAACAACATTCTTCAAAGAGATGAAAAAGATAATTACTAAGGTTATATGGAAAGTAAAGAGACCAAGGATAAGCAAAGCACTGCTTAAGAAGAAGAACAATGTTGGAGGCCTCTCACTCCCCAATTTCAAAATTTACTACCTGGCTACAGTGGTCAAAACAGCCTCGTACTGGTACAATGAAAGATACATTGATCAACAGAACAGAATCAAGAATTCAGAAATTAGCCCATCCACGTACAGCCAACTGATTTTCCACAAAGTGCCTAGATAAATTGCTTGGGGAGGAGATAGTCTCTTTAACAGATGGTGCTGGCAAAACTAGAAAGCTATATGCAAAAGACTGAAACAAGATCTTTACCTCACACCCTATACAAAAAACAAACTCAGTATGCATTAAAGATCTAAATGTGAATTCCAAAATTATGAAGGTCATCAATGAAAAAATATGGACAAATGTGAGGGCCCTAATTCAGGGCATATACAGACTACCAAACATTTTGCAAAATACACTAACAAAAGTGGACAAAATAGATGAGTGGGACATACTAAAAATTTAAAATCTATGTGCATCAAAAGATTTCATCAGAAGAGTAAAAAGGGAACCCACAGAATGGAAAAAATCTTTTGTAACAACAAATCAGATAAGGGACTCATTTCTAAAATATAAAGGAAACTACAACACCTCTACAAGAAAAAGACAAATAACCCAATTAAAAAATGGGCACAGGACATTAACAGACATTTCACTAAGGAGGAGTTCCGGGCAGCCAACAAACATATGAAGAAACATTCACAATCACTAGCCATCAGAGAGATGCAAATCAAAATAACAATGAGATACCATCTCACACCAGCAATAACAGCAAAGATCAAAAATGTAGAGGACAATAAATGCTGATGAGGATGCGGAAAGAATGGGACCCTCCTACATTGCTGGTGGGAATGCAGAATGGTCCAACCTCTCTGGAAAGCAATATGGCGCTTCCTCAGAAGGCTGGAAATAGAAATACCTTATGATCCAGCAATTCCTCTACTTGGTATTTACCCACAAGAAACACGAACCATAACACAAGTAGATATATGCACACCAATGTTCATAGCAGAACTATTTACAATAGCAAAAAGATGCAGACAGTCAGTGCCCATCAAGTGAAGAATGGATAAACAAACTGTGGTACATAAACACAATGGAACACTATGCTACCCTGAAGAACAACAAGGAAGCTGCAAGCCACTGCATAACATGGATGAACCTTGAGGACATTACGCTAGTGAAATTAGTCAGTCACAAAAGGAGAAATACTGCATAAGACCATTATTGTAAAAGACTAAGAAAAAGAACCTACCCAAAAGGGGAAAAATAAAAAAACTATATATATAAAATTGCTGGTCACTGGGATGTATGGGATGAGAGGAGAGGAGGGAAGGAGGGGAAGATAGAGCAGAGTGTAGGGAACAGACACAGGAAAGCTTGGGTGCTGGGGCAGAGCGGGGCAGGGAGAGAGAAGGAGCCTGGCAATACACAAGAAGCCTGAGGCGAATAGAAGAACAAGGTGAATGGGAGAACAGTTAGGCAGGTTCCTATCAACTAAGTGGGACAGAGGTAAATGATGTATGTATGTATGTATGTATGTATGTATGTATGTATGTATGTATGTATGTATGTACAACCTTGAAATAACAGGCCTTCCTTATACAGGGATTGAGCCATGGTTTGAAAGGGTAAAAGAGGAATAATGTTAGGATGCTTGGCTGTCTTTTGAATCTTGGCTTCCCTTGCCTACCATTGTGAAATAGACACTTGGGGGAAAGGGGGAGGAATAGCCAGAAACATCACAATAGAAAACATGTAAGCCCATCTTCAGCCTATAACTGATTGGAATACCTTACAGGGGCCTAGAAATTGCCCAGACCCAAAATGGTGGGGGGGCCTATAAAGGCAAGAAATGACTGGCTTACAAGTTTTCAAGACAGAGCCTAGTTCCAGACGGGACAGGGGTAGGTAGAACCTCCACTGAATGATTTACAATCTGTTGGGACCCAGCTGGCGAAGGAAATGGGGATAAGACTCTTGTGGTATAATAGTGAATAGCTGCCATCAGGGCTGACTGTGAAGGTCAGAAATGTAGAGGTAGATTTTTTTTTTTGACAAAAGGAGGGGAGTGATTGATTTTGCAGCCCAGGAATGTAGGTCCCTTGGACCAACAAGTGAAAAGGCCGGAGAGTGTGACCCTACCCAGAGACGCAGTGAAGCCAGGCATGGAGACAGAGATGATGACGTGGACAGATGGAGTGGCTGGGGACACGGGACTCAGGGAGGGAGAAGAGCTTTTGCTCACAGCCAGGTGGCGGGCCTGTGGGGTATACCCTTTGGTTATTTTATGATGCAAGGAGGGGTTTGTAATCATTGCAATGAAATGAAATATGATAGGATGAATGTGAAGCTGAAGTGGGACAGAGGTAAATAATGATGTAGGCACAACCTTGGAACAACACGGCTCTGGGATACAGGGATTAAGACATGGTTGGAATGGGAAAAAGGGGGACAATAATGTTAAGATGCTTGGCTGTCTTTTGAATCTTGGTTTCCCTGGCATACCATTTTAAAATAGACACTTGATGGGAAGAGAAAGGAATAGCTAGAAATATCACCATAGAAAGCTTATAAGTCCGTCTTCTACCTAGAACTGATTGGAATACCTAAAATGGGGCTACAACGTGCCCAGTGATGGAGGCTTCCTACGGAGCCTCTGCATTATATATGACCCTAGGTGGAATCCTGAATAGCATCCAGAATCTTCTGAGGTGGGAAATTTCCACTTGAAAGGACAAGCAGACCAGCCTGGAGCAGTTAGAAGAACATAAGACACTTCTTGAAAGAAAGACCGATACGAAAAATACAAAACAATATAATATAGGCAGACCGACTGATTACTACAAGAACAAGCAAGTGACATGCCCAGGAGACATCAAGGCAAGTGGCCGGGTCCCCTCAGGGCAAATCTCCTTCTAAGACTAAGACTCAATGGGAATACACGCTGTGATTGGTGACCACGTTCATCACTGATAATAAGAAGTGAGGGAAAAACAGCAATGAAGCTGCGAGCTAAGCCCTACAGCGTTCAATAGACTCCTGTGAAAACCCGGCTAGAGACCTGATTGGCCAGCAATGTGGCAAGACCTAGGAACTCTTGGGCCCAGAGTCAGTGACACAGCCACAGAGGACTAGAGTGGAGAGTGAAGTGTCCAGCTGATAAGAAGAGAGGCCATATGCAGAAGAACACCCACACTTGCAGGTAACACCCAATTGACCTAGCTTCAATGACTGGATGATCAGAGCTCAACTAGAAGAAGAAAGAAGAGGGAAAAAAGAGTAATATAATATAATTTGATGAACTTGACCTACACCTATGGATGCAGTAGCTCAAAACATGGAACAAATCTTTACAACAAGGATCATTCCCACCCCCTCCATACACAGAGTAGACAGGAATGGACAACTTGGACATTGGCTACCCAAAGGGGGGAAGGGAAGCTACAGAAGCAAGAAGTGACTGGCTTATTAGCTTTCAAGAGAGAACCTAGATCCAGAAGGTGTGGAGCAAGGTAGAATCTCCACTGAGTAGTATCCAATCTGTCTAGGTGAGGCTGATGAAAGGAGATGTGGATAGGTCTCTTGTGATACAATAGTGAATAATTGTTATCAGGACTGATTGTGAGGGTTGGAAATGTAAAGGTAGACGTTTTGTAGCAAAAGGAGGGGAGTGATTAACTTTGCAGTCTAGGAATGGAGGTCCCTGGGACCATCAAGGGAGAAGAGCAGAGAGCAGAACCCTACCCAGAGAAGCAGTAACGCCAAAGATGGAGGCAGAGACGATTACGTGGAGAGATGGAACGGCTGGGGATTTTAGACCCAGAAAAGGGGCTGTGTGCTGATGACTGGGGGGCAGGCTTGCAGGGTAACCCTCTGGTTGGTTGATGATGCATTGAGGGGAATGTAACCATGGCAAGAAAATAATATACGATAGGATGAATGTAAAGCTGATATTCTCCCATGTAAGCTATCACATAATTCACAATAAAACATTAAAAAAAAAAAAAAAGTCTACTTGCCTTGGTTGTAATGTGTTAGGGACTTTCAGAAGCACTTAAAATGAAATTCTAAGATTTTCTCAATTTTTTTATTTTCACTGAAAATATAATTTGGGGGTTTTGCTTCATCCATCTTAGCTACTCTGTAAGGTTTCCAGGAAGTAAAGGCAGGAAAGCTTATACACACACAGCAAAATGGAAAATCTGCTAGAAGTTGCTACCTTGTTCCTATTATAAATTCTAAGTTCATGTTCTTTTTGCTTAACTTTTTCTTACATGGTATTTTAAAAAGTCACATCATATAAGAATTACATAAAAAGGTCTAAGTAATTGTTGCACAATGATATATTTTGTGAATTACTTATGGCAAAACCTATTTTCTAACCAGAATACTTTTAGAACAATTCTTCTTTCCATTTGGTGTGATATTCAGAAAAAGACAGCTAATTTTAATTTTAGCATCACCAAAATAAAATTAGGTCATTAAGTCTGTTGCACATGGTTACAATAACATAATGCAAAAATAAATGCTTGGGAAAACCTAAAACAATTTCCTACATTCATGTACATAAGTAAGAAATGAAAATACACAAAGTTTATGTAAATGCCTGCTACTAACCTTGTTGTCCATCTGGCATGGTCACAATGATGGGCTGACCAATTCCACTGGTTGGAATAGAGTGCAAATTTCCAAGCTGAATTCCATCTGTAACTATTGTGATAACTTGCTGACCCCCTGAACTCACTACTTGTTGAATTGCACCATCTACAGATTCTGCTGTAACTACTTCTTCCGTGGCCACTACTGGAAGAAAAGGGAAAAAAGAAGCAAAATTCAGTGAACAAAATAAAAGAAAGAATAAAACTTTATTTTTTCTTGTTCTGGCTACCTTTGCTTTCTCTGCTTCTTTCTTACACAGGAAAATTTTATATGGTTTGTAAGCTCATTCACCTGTTGTTGTTGTTAAGTGTCATCGAGTCGGTTCAAACCCATTGCAACCCTGTATAGGGTTTCCAAGGAGCAGCTGGCGAGCTTAAACTGCCAACCTTGCTATTGAACCCGACTTTGCAGTCCAGCGCACAAACCCACAATGCCAAACCAGGACTCTGTTCATATCTATTAAACAGTTAAGTACAAGTCCTAAAATTTATAATAAGTTAGTTTCCACTTACTGGAAACATACCTGAATAAAATGATCTTTTAAAAATGCTTTCCAAGGAACTAACCTTCATGGGCCTATTTTCATGAAATATTTATATTTACATGAAATATAAAGTCCCCTAAGGTCACAGAACAAGAGAATTTTATATGTGGTTAGACTCCATTTACATTAACATATGAGTTTACATACATTTCCAAATCCCGTGAAACAGAAATTTGTACATATTAAATAGGCAGAGGAAACATTTTTAACCCTTTTCAGATGAAGTCATCAAGGATTGCCTTGATAATATGTTGCATACAGAGCCACTTACTACAATGAACAATATAATACATTAACATTTACATAAGTAAAGTCTTAAAATATGCTCTTAATATTTTATAAGAGAAAATTCTGGCGGTTTGAAACAGCACTTCTGGCTTTGCCAACGTAAAAAAATCACAAGTTAATACTGCCAAAATCATTTGCTACAGGCAATGCTATGTCCAACATCTAACCCTAAAAGACATGCACAGGAATATTCATATCAGCTCCTTTTAAAACAGTAAAAAATCTAGAAACAACCAGATATATACAAACAGTAGAATGGAAAAACTGTGATAGAGGTATAAATGAAGATGTTGTTTTTGTTTAAATGTCATTGAGTCGATTCAGACTCATAGCAACCTTATATAAGGTTTCTGAGGAGTGGCTGGTGAGTTTGAACCACTGACTTTGTGGTTCAAACCGACCTTGCGGTCCAGCACCACACCAGGACTCCAAATACATGAAGATTCTATGGTGGTGGTGATTATGTGCCGTAGAGTCGGTTCTGACTCACAGAGACCGGGCATAGGGTTTCTGGAGCTGTAAATCTTGAGAAGAGATAAAAAGCCTCATCTTTCACCCATGGAACAGCTGGTAGTTTCAAACCATCAGTGTTGAAGTTAGCTGCCCAACTCGTAATTAAAAGGACTTACGGAGTCCTGGTATGGTGCTGCAGGATAAGCACTGAACTGCTAATCACAAGATTAGTGGTTGAAATCTACCAGCAGCTCCTTGGTGGCTGCGAGTTGGAACTGACCTGACAGAATACAGCAACAACAGCCAAAACTGTACATGCAGCAAAAATACTGCTGAGTGAGGTTAAGTGGATACAGAAGTATATACATACACTGCTGACCTTCCATTGATGACATTAGTAATAGCTAGAGATATATATCACTTTGATAATTCTTCAAACTGTATACTTATATGACACGTGTACTTTTCTGTATGCATTTTCTTCAATAAAAAAGAACCATAATAAGAACTAATGATAGTAATGAAATATAACACATTAATTTTTTTTTAAATCCATCATGACTAATTACAAGTGTCACAACTGTAAAAGTAGAAGTTTTGTAACATAAATGGGAGAGCAGTTAATCTAACATTATAGGAACAGAGGACCCTATGACCATCAGGGGAGAAGGGCATGAGCAGAATGTGGGACCCTATCCAGAGAAGCAGCAATACCAGAGATGGAGTCAGAGATGATGACATGGAGAGAGGGAGCAGCTAAGGACTCCAGACTCATGGAAAGAGAAAGGCTGTGTAATGGCGGCCAGGAGGCAAGGTTGCAGAATGTGCCCTTGGGTTGTTTAAATGATTATTATGTATTCCTGAGTGTTTTTGTGTACATCAAAATTTTTTTAAAAAACTAAGGGAATAGAAGCAAATACTGTTGAATGGTGATGCATGAAGGGGATTAATACAATAGGGCAACTGCAAAACCCATGTTCTCCCAAGTAAACTATCATTCAATTTACAGCAAAAGCTTTTCAAAAGAAAAAAATATCTATTTGTCCATTTCAATACCTCATAAAAAGGGGAAGGGGACAAACTTGACAGAAGAATGACATCTAATTAACAGAGGAGGCAGAACAAAATCAGAAAAATCATACTATAATTCCCAATGTAATAAGTGATTCAGGTAAGGATCACTGTTGTTGTTAAGTGCCATAGAGTACAGTTCCAACTCAGAGCGACCCTGTATAGGGTGTTCCAAAGCTTTAAATCGTCGTGAGAGCATAAAGTCTTATCTTTCTCCCGTGAAGTGGATGGCAGGCTCACACCTTGGACCTTGTGGTTCGCAATCTAGTGCTTATCATATGGAGCCACAATATTCCCTGAGGATCACTAAAATCATTAGTGGAATGTTTTTGGGAAACAGGATATTAAAATGGTCTCAGTATCACACCCAGAATGACTATGACTTAAAAGAGGAGATTTGCACTTGTAAAGACAGGGTAGGTAGTCACTGCTTTCACCGAGTGGTAAATAAAATGGTAAATCAAAAATTACTACCAAAAATTATAGAAACCTTTTTTAAACAAGAAATATCAGATATGAATCTTTTATTTCTCCACTTAGCCTCCATCTACCTCTTGAAACTTCAGAAGGCAGTGTTTCCATCTCTCTAAACCCTTCCCCAAAGAAATCTGTATCCTTTGACATACACCATATCAAAAGAATAGCTTTGACATCCTTGAGGGACTCAAACTGTGTTCGTTTTAAATGCTTTTTGAGTACTGGGGACAAACAGAAGCCTGAAGGGACAAGATCAAGGCTGTAGAGTGGATGGATAAGGTTTACCAATAAAATTCTCTTAGGACAGCCCTTACTACTCTCAAAGATTGAGTAGGTGTATAGTCACGTAGAGGCCAAGATGGCCAAACTTCGTCTCTCATACTTTGGACATATTGTCAGGAGGGACCAGTCGCTGGAGAAGAATATCATGTTTGGTAAGGTGGAGAGTAAGAGAAAAAGAGGAAGACCCCCAACAAGAATGGATTGGCCAAATGGCAGCATTGATGGACTCAAGCGTGCCAACAGTAGTGAAGTTGGCCCAGGATCGGGCAGTATTTCATAAGGTCGCTATGGGTCGGTACTGACTCGATGGCACCTACCAACAACATTGTCATGATGGAAAAAAATTCCTCGGCACTACTTTCCTGGTCTTTTTCTCATCAATGCACTTTTCAGTGTTCTAAACACTTCCTCCTAACAAGCCCCCATGATTATCTTATGTCCTTGGAGAAAATCTATCAGGATTACTTACTCCCCTGGGGACCGCAAAAATCAGTCACCATAACCTTCTTAACTGACCTCTCTGTTTTGAATTTAACTGGCCCAGCAGCCCTCCTTGGAAGCCACTGCTTTCATTGGACCTTTTCTTGAAGGTACCCTAACAAGGCTAAGACAAGTGTATTACTGAGAGAACTGGTCTGCATCGATCGACTGATACCAGAACATGTTTAAACACACAGAGGAGACAGTCCTTGTTCTTGGGAGCTACAACTGAAATATTTACGGATGACATTGTTAGGATGATCTGGCAAAACAGAAGTACGTGGGGGTATGTGTATTTGTGTGTGAGTCAGAAAAAGGGTGTGCAGGCATGGCAAGATGTTGATAACTGGTGAATATAGGTGAAGGGTATAAAAGTTTATCCTATTACTCATCCCCCAATTTCACTGTGGATTTGAAAATTGTCAAGAAAAAAATGAATTTTATGAAATAATGGCAAGTCTACCTAAAAGAAATGGCTTAAAGACTATTCTAAACAAAATACTCTTCTTAAGTTTTATTTGAGGCAGCCCTTTACAAAAACATAACTATACAACATCATTCTCTACTAAAATCAAGCTACCATCAGATCCTCAGTAGCTCTCAAACATACACTCTGAGTTGCTACCAACTCATAATAGAACTTATGAATACCAATGATCACAGAATTTACTAAAGAAAGAGAGGATATAAACATATGAACTCCTTTAAAAAAAAATTTTTTTTAAAGGCAAGATATGTACTGTGTTCCAGGATCTACTCACGGCAATAGGCCTGGCTTCCACCCTATTACTGTGCCATTTGATAATCAAGAGTCACAAACAAACCACAGAAGGTAACATTCAAAACACAAACAACATTTACATTTTGAGTTCTCTCATTATTTTTGTTTGCCTTTAAACTATAATCTGACTTTACAACCAAGCACTTAAGAAAATTTCAGGAAAGTAATTACAAAATGAAATGTACGGTACAGAATAGCAATATATTCAACAGAACAACCACTAAGGTTTTCAAACACATTAAGTATTGCTTTGATTTTTTTTTTCATATCCATATGAAAAAGAAATATCCACTCTGATTCAATACTATCTCCAGACAGCAAATATTTTAAGGCATAATCATAAGCAAGACATTTCTGAGATCACACATGAGACAGGCACAACTCAAGAACTTTCATCTTTGTCCAGTTGTCAATGTCATTAAAATAATAGAACCCTTATCTTTCATCTAAAGAGCTTTCTTTTTAAGTTGTGCTATGGTAAGGAATTTAAGAAAAAATTACAAAGAAGTCTTTACGTAGGAAAACAAAGTACCCCCTAGAATTTTTATAAACAACCTAATAGCAAAATTCTGAAAAAAGTATTGCTTAAAAATATATACTTTTCCAAACATAAAACCTCTAACTAGAAATAGCCACTATCATAAATATTCATTGATCTGATTCAAAAATCAAGTTGTAATACTTAGAGCCTAAAGAATCAACAGCATCTTTGAAAGCATCTCCTTTGTTCAGCAGGACTTCTGAACTATAATGCCACATGGTTCAAGT